TTTGTATTTCTGTAGTTTTCTACTATCTATATGTAAATAAAAAAAGTCAAACCTACATTTTATTTCAAAGAATGTATTTTAGACATTTATTTCCGTGAAGAGCTTACGCATGGCTGTGCTCTTACAAAAATTCTTAGTATAAAATGTATCCACTTTAGTGGCTTCCTGGCGGCATATAATTTATTTTATAGGGAAATTTCTGTTTAATTCTTCTTAGTGGATAAATTACCTTTCCAAAAATATCAAACACGTTCACATTGCAGACAACGAATTTTTCGATTTTTGCTCACTTAGGCGGCATTGTGAGACGGCTCGTTTTGTTATTAAGGAAAACAATGGTCAACATTCAACATATTGGCGCCGCACAGGAGGAAATATCGGAAAAATTCTAGCCGCGGCGCCATTATAAAAGCGTATGAGCGTATTTTTCATTTTTCTTTAAATATGTTTATTTTATTATTAGTTAATTTAAATGTTAAAATGTTAAATAAAAGTAATAGTTAAATGAATTAAAAAAAAAATAAAAATATTGAATACTAGATCGCCCCCACCCGCTTCGCTGAGTGTATGAAATTTTTGCGTGCTACATTGAGTAAAATTTTTTTCAAGAAAACTCGATGCAAAAACAGGAGGTTTAAAATTTGTTTAACCATCTTCAAAATATTTTCAAACTAAAACTTTCTTAGACTTATCACTTGTCATACTTTTTCAATTCAATTGATATTTTAAACTTCCATCCCTTTACATGTAGATTAGAAATGAAGCCATTTTCAAATCATTTTGATTGATTCCCACATTGTAATAATTCATTTAAAATATTGAATAGTTTAAATTTAACCTTTTAAACAGTTGGCAACCTTTTTAAACCTCTTTCGTCTAACACTCATATTGTGATACATATTCAAAACCATTTCGATTCATACCAATCTATATCAATATATATTTTGAAAGCCATTTTTTTTTGTGCGCAAAGCTCGAGAACGGCCGAACCGATGTTTTTTTAAATTTCCGATATCTGATTCGGACGTCTCAAGGATTATTATAGGCTAAACAAAATTTCGAAAATAGATGGGGCGTGGAACCTCCCATAAAAACCGAATTTTTCATACCGAATATCTCTGGAAGTGTTCATGGTAGAGTACTGGAGCTTGGTGTGGAGATATATGAAATCAATCTTATACTCATGGAGAAAAACGGGCTATCTGTAGGTGTGTTTGTGAGTGAAATCCTCCTAAAACGGAGTTTTTTGTGTGTTTTTGAGTAACTCTGGATAATGTAGATTCACAAATTCACCCGCCACTTTGGCTAATATTCAAAATATGTATTGGTAACGGTAAAGGCAATACTATTGCAAAAAAGAGCTGCCACGTGGCGCTGGAGTGATTACGAATAATCGCCAAGTTAGAAAAGGTGCCGTGAATGTCAGAATAAATAAACCTGTTGCACCATTGAGTATATCGAATTTTTATGTGTTACGATTGGCCCAATGTATGTGACTTTTGCCAGTATTGTTATGCTTTAAAGCTTCATTCGAAGACACCTGGGTTGAGTTGTGCAGGGGTAAATCTCAAATCACCACCGATAAATCAACCGCCAAAAACCATCGCGCGCCTTTCACTGTAATAAATTCAAGTAAAAAAAATTATTTTCATTTAAACTGCTTTCGTGAAACTTACTTTTAAGGTATTTAGTCTGAAATAAGTCTATGTATATTGGATTTCTGTAGAACAATTATAGGCATCCATTTTGAAATTGCTACCAACTATACGATAAAGTTTCTTGGACAGATTTACTTTAGAACCGGATCATTGTTGCCGCCAGGGAGTGAAGAGGAAATGTTCTTCAAATTTATTTCGTTGTGAGATTAACCGTTCTATGAAATGTTACACAATTAGAGAATTTCAGGAACTTCATCACGGACATAACGCTTTCGTTAGGTTATTTAAGGCGGAAAACGACCACCAAACCATAATTTTAGCCGATGTGCGTGCCAATGGAAATCGTAAACGTGAATTGTTGGTGAAAATGTTGGGCCAAAAAGTTTCAATAAAAAAAATAAAAATTTTGTGCGTACGAAGTTCGCCGGGTCTGCAAGTATTATAATATTTCATTTAAACTAAATAAGTGAATTTTTTTAAAATGTGGCAACCCTTGTGAAAGACTTCAATATTATTCAAAACTTTAAAACTTAAGGTTTCTTAACAATATTTTGTTTGACAACCATATTTTAATTCTTCAGATGGCTTGCGTATAATTAATTTAAATTTTACTTTTCAAACAGGTGGCAAGCCTTTTCAAAATATAATAAACTACAGCTTTTTTAAGCCTCTTGACATCCATTTTTTTAATATAATTTGCAAATAAATAAATCCCGTAATTGAAGTTGAATTAGATGTTTTATAAAGGTGGCAGCCCTCTTCCATGAGCAGAGAATGATTATTTATATCTCCATACCAAGTTCCGGTAATCTACCAATAATATTTCCTGCAGTATGAAAAATTCCGTTTGTATGGGAGGTGCCACGCCCTCTTGCCTTATCGAGATTGTGAGAGAGTGTACAAAATTTCATGATGATCGGTTGAATAGTTAAAGCGTGAAAGCGTAGCAAACAAACAAACTCACTTTCGGATTTATAATAGTAAGTAAGGACTGCACTGGCATTGAGACTCGAATTAATTCGCATTACTGCTATCTGTCAAGGTTCAATTTTGATCAGATCAACTGCACCGTTAATACGGATCAATATTGCCCGTCTGAGTATGATTTTAGAGTGAAAAGTTGCTAAGTCTGCTTTTTTAATGAAAACTCATATTTTGATATAGGAGTATTTCTAAACTGGCGTTACGTGACGCTCGTATGACAAAATGTTTGTTAAAAAAAATAATTGTAAGTCAAAATTTTAAAAAAGTTTATCTAGATTTGCATAGCAATTAAATGGCCCCTTATTCAGTAAAACAAATTACAGCTGTTGGTAATAGCGATTAAAAGATATTAGTAAACATATGCGCTAAGGCCAAAATAATACGAAATCTTTCAATAACGATCGAATCCTTCTGATTCGTTTAATTTAGCTTTGCTTTAAATAGGCAACCTATCATATTCAAAGTTTTGCAAACTACTTGAAAAAAGGGATATTGAAAGTTTTTTCTCTCCTCTAAAATTTGTAACAATGCACTTAGCAACTTTTCACTATAAGCTAGCGATATTGCACCGTCATCGGGTTCTGAGCTGGGTACGAAATTTCAAGTCTCTAGCTCATCGAGGAGTTGGTTTAAAATTTATTATAATATTTGACCCAAACAAACATACTTACATATCGATACCTGAGTAGAAGATCGTCCTATCTCGGCAGCCAGTTCGAGAACGCCCTACTTCAAAGCCTGATTGAAGAACGCCGTATTTTAGAATTTGATTGAAAAACGCCCTATCTCAGCACATTTTCAATGTATTTTCAGCTGAGATACGGCGTTTTTGAACGGAATTCTGAAGTAGGCCGTTCTTGAAAAGTTTCCTAAGATAAGGCGTTATCGAACTGGCTGCCGAGATAGGCCGATCTTCCACTCAGCTGACGATATATGAATACATACACAACAAATTAAATAAAAACTTGTAATAAAAAGCGAAAATTTCATAACTGGGTTTGATGAAGGAACCAAACTATTCAAGTGGCTTCCTGATTTTCACCTTTTTTATCTTTGAATATAAATACATTCAGCTATATTCTGTATATACATACGGGTCATTCCGTGTAAAAGATGAAAACGACATACATTTTCAAATTCCCTAGTTATCTCTATTTTAGTTGTAACATCTTTTTAATTGACTAAATTCCTTTAAACTGCTGAAATGATGGTTACATGAACTAAGAAATCGATTGGTATTTTTTTTAAGGAATTTTATACATTAGTTATTTATTTATGTTAAAAAAAATATCTTTCGCTTTGTATTTGTTCCGACGACGTAGTTATAATTCACAATTGATCACATGTGCCACCTATCACTATGGAATAGGCCATATGCTTTATTCAGCTCAAAGTAATAATGATTTTTAAAGTTTTAGGGGTTGCTTTTGACACTTTGCCCTCCTTCTCTGCGTACACAAATGTACAACAAGTAATTTTTAGCAAAAAAAAAACCGACTTCAACTCTCATATAAAAAAAAATATATATCTCATGATCCGCTGATCGGATCTTAACCAGATTAGTGTGGGACCACCTCTGAGACACTACCTTTCCGATGCACAAAGACGGTTGACGTGGTCCAAAGTTATGCGGTAACATACATAAAAAAAAAAAAAAAAAATATTCCGACGAACTGATAAACTCCTCCTTTTTTGGAAGTCGGTTAAAAATGTACACGAAAGTACAAAGCAGTTGAGGCAAAGACAAAAAAACGCTGTTGGAAACCAACACACATAAAGGATTTACATAAACTTTGCTGCGTCTGTATGGTGGACGAGAAACTTGTAGAAAGCAGTGGATGAAGCTTCAGACCTGACAGAACGTCGTACTTGTGTTCGGCCATGCCTACTGATGACGGCTGAACACATTTAGATAGATACGCTCGGAGGTTTGTCATTGCCCACGGCTATTAGAAAAAGCTTGTTTTTAATATTTTGATGTTGGTCGGAAACTGGGCTTGAACCCAGCTCCTGCGGGATGGTAGCGCTCACTGCTAACCACTACTTCTGCGGATGGAATTTCGCGCATTTCGAAGAAGAAAAGGTTCTGTCGTAGAGTATTTAGTCCATGTAAGCCGCTGGGAACTTTAAAGAAGTGTCATTGCCTTGTGGATAGATTAAGAGCCAGTACAGCGCCCTAATTAGCTCGTACTAAACTAGTAGTTCCATTAGCATAACACACATCTCTAACGAAATATATTTATAACCTTTATTAAAAAACCTTTTTCTCATCTCTAAACCAAGTAAAACGCTGCAACTACTTTCTTAATAGTATCAGTCGAAGCCCGTATTCCAGCAGATTTTTTTTTAATCTCTTACGAAAAATCCAAGAAAATGTTCGGGGTAATCAGTGAATTTGCAGCATTGACTCTCCAACAAAATTGTGGTATTAAAATTACACAGCACTTGTAATTTTATTTTTTTTTAATGTTTAAATTTATAGAAAATTGCATGTTTAATTAACAAAAGGCTTTCCACTTTACTCTTAATTGACTAACAGCTCGCGTCTACGGCACTCTACAAAAAATTTCCGAGGATTCACTAACTGCCGCGATCGCGCACTACAAACATATTTATTAGCAAATTGTTCGCCAGGATTGCTTGTATCTCAAAATTCGGTTACGCGAATTACAACCGCGTGGTGACAGTTCAAAATAACGACTGAATTGTGTTCAAAACGACGGTGCAACGAAGTGAACGATCTTGCAAATCTAAAATATTCATAGATAATGCCGATTTTTTATGCGCATGTGAGTGCACTCATAGGAGTATGAGTATTTAAATACATACGCGCATGCATAGTCACTTACATACATATGTATATGTTAAACCAAAAGCTCATGTGCAATTAGATAGAAAGCTAAGATTTGATGTGAAATAAGGAATCTCTAAATAATTTAAATACGTACACAAATTATTTAGAATCTCCGTCAAATGCCAGCATAAGCCCCTAAATAGCTATGTAGTACATACCAATAGTCACATTTACACACATTCATATCTACTGTGGCATTTTATTTAAACAATTTATGNGATGTGAAATAAGGAATCTCTAAATAATTTAAATACGTACACAAATTATTTAGAATCTCCGTCAAATGCCAGCATAAGCCCCTAAATAGCTATGTAGTACATACCAATAGTCACATTTATACACATTCATATCTACTGTGGCATTTTATTAAAACAATTTATGTGACTTTAGAAGGTTTGGCTTTGAATTAAAAAATTATAAGTTTGCCTTAAACATTTTATATTTGTATTAAGTTTCTATTAAAAGTACATCTAAAGCTAACCTGTGGCTAGTTAATTGTTAAAATATTGTTAGGGAACCCTTTGAAGTATTGCTTTAAAAGGAAAATGGCCTATCTCGAAATAAGTTATTTTAATAAAATACCACAGATTTCTATGTACGTATTTATACATACATACATACATATATTTGTACCGCGTATGGTTTTTTATTATCACCAATGCAAACAGAAATAGTTGTTTAAATACTTATTTACCATTAATGCTGTTTATAAAATGAAAATACCGAGATGAGGTAAATTTTGGTAGTTTGTTTGGATTAAGCTTGATAGGGCTATTATCTGTACATGGATAGATGCAGATGCACATATACACACATGCATACGTATGTATGTACCTACTGTAAATTTTTTCTTGCTTAAGAAATGGAAAAATTAAGTTCCTGAATGGTTTATACATATGTATGTAGGTCTTTATTTATGCTTTTCAAAAAAATAAAATACGGCTTGTTTTCCAAATTGTTACCACCTCAAAAACCAGACATTGTATATCGTTGTTACCATTACTAACGTTCCTAGCAGCCGCACTCGGAGTCGTTTTTTAATGATTACTTAATGTGTTCCTCAGTAACGATTTCAAAAAGACTATCTCAGTGTCAGAAACCTTTACTTAAGTTTTTCTGTAACAGTCGCAATGATCCAGTGAGCAGAGCACAGCCGAACCATTCGAGAGATTCGAGTTCAATCCACGCCAATGGAATTTTTTTTTCATTTTTAATAAATTTTTTCTTTTAATTTTTGAGTTAATAATATTTATTTTTTTTTTAATCTTCTAAAATTTTTAGTTTTTGTTGTTTTAAAAAATATTTTTTTTTGATTTCGTTGAGTTTATAGAAAACTTATTGCTAAAAGATAAATAGAATAACGCCAAGACCTCCTCGTTAGCAGATCTTTCAATTAATCTTTCGAAATACAGAAAAGAACTTTCAAGATAGTTGCCGGAATAGGCAATTTTCATACGAAAGACTTTTGTCTTTCAAAAGACTGTGGTAAGTTGAAAGACAGATGCCAGAATTGGCCTGTTAGCGGTATTGTTTGTCTTGCAGTAAAAAATAGTTTCCTTTTTAAAACAATAAAATATAAAAATTAAATTAAAAACGCAAAAAAATAATTCAATAACTTTCTAAAAATTAAACAAGAAAAATATAATATATCAAAAAAGGAAAAAGGAAAAGGCAGAGCGCGGAAAATGATAAAAATACACACTTATTTTTTTATTTAATTTCAAACTGAACGGAAAAAATAGTGATGCCACAAAAAAGGACCACAACTGGGGTCATACTTAAATTTATCATTAACTAAGGAGCACTTAGCAGCACGAAGCTGCTGCCACACCTTGTCAACATTATGAGGCATGGTCTAGCACTGGCCCACATTTCTGAGATGTGGCAAAGGGCTCGGGTTATCTTCATCCCGAAAGTAGGTAAGACATATTACTCTCTCGCTAAATCCGACAGGCCGATAAGTCTCACTTCCTTCATTCTGTCAGCTGTGCGTTACCATAAAATCAGATCTAACACTCTCAGACAGGCATCTTTGCATCCCGATTAGCACGCGTAGTAAGTGGGAAGATCTACAGATATCACGGTATGTGCCCTGACTACGGACATACAAAGTGCCTTTGATTGCGGAGCAACGGTGCTCTACGCCTTACTCGACAAGGTGAGCAAATCAAGCCTTGGAGGACTTATTTTAATGAAAAGTCACTTAAAAGTTCAAATCACAATTCTTATTATTTTTTGTGGAGCATTACTGTTTTTCACTTCAGTCCCGTTATCGAACCTGTATGAGCTGCTGATTGCAGCTTAACATCAAAAGTATCAAATCATAACGCACAGTGAGACAAAACGATTCAAATATTAATATCTTTTGATCAAAAACTATTTAGCAAAAGAAATTACAGTAAAAATGAATTAATATTTATAGTAAGAATAAATTACTTGTTGGCGAATTTTTGGCCATAAATATCTATACAATATATTCCTGTGCACAATAAAGCCCACTGCATATTAAGTTTTACTCATTCATCCTAGGTACGCGTTCCACTGTAGCACTCATAACATACTGAAAACTTGACGCACCCACAATATCATCAAAGCAACATAATCCATGCGGCATTCGCTTTTGCACATCATAATTATCATTTGTTTGATCTATGTATTCATGTTAATCAATGATATCAATTGATTGCGCCCAATTTCGCAACGATCGCCAATCAATCAAAGCATTTATGAAATTCTATTCATGATTATTACATAGCGGTGGCGGTCAATACCAGTTGTTGCTAGTTTGTTTTTTATGTAAAATTTCGAACGTCTTTCCTATCCAATAAAAATAGCTATAATTTACAGTTCTATATTCGTTTATTAAATTAATTTTGATTTACAAGTTAACTTCCGGCTCTGCATTTGTAGTATGCAATCAATAATTTTTAAGAGCCAAAAGTAGGCCCGGCTTCCTAGTGCCTCGTATTTAGTATATAAATTTACAGTTACACACAAATGTACATATATATGTACGTTATACAGTTACACACCTATCAAAACTCAAAAGCAAAAAATAGTACATACTGGCACAGTACCTCAACAATAACATTCCTTCTAACAATCTCCTTTCTGCAAAGGACAGAGCATATCGATTGCTGTACGTTAATTTATAATTATTAATTTTTTTGTTGCTAAACTTTTCCTTCTAGGTTTCATATTTCTTCACATTGATGTCGACCTGTCGTTTTCGTCGCCGTTCGCTGGTGTAATAGTAGAGGTTCTCATTGTAATCATCCGATCCGGCGATAGGTTGATAGATGAGATTCTTGCAGCCGGCATTGCCAAGGACGTTGTGTTGGTAGATGGCGCTGGACGGGGAAGAAAAAAAGTTAAAACAATGGAAGTAGTAAACCTGCTAATATTCCAAACGTTAAAGTTTGTGAGTGAATGAGTATGTTTGTTGATCTTTCACGCTAAAACTGCCACCTTTTTCCAACAACAATGTAGGTGATAACGGATAACGATTGATTTTGAGGAGAGTTGCCACCCGTTCAAAAAGTTATAATCAATTTAATTAGCAAATTAAATCAAATATTAAAATATTGGTATCAAACGAGAAAGATTTAAGAAAGCTTTATTTCGAAGAAATTTTTGTAGGTAATTAAATATTTATTTGATATGGGTGTCAAACGGGAGAGGATTAAGGGCCACTTTCTGAAGTAACCTTTAACATTAAAGCTCATTTTGTATTTAAAGGTTGGATTAAAAGTAATGCTATGTCTAAAGTTAAGCCTTTCTATTACCGGTTTTTGACGTATGTATGTTTCTTGTTTGTAAACCAATTTAAAACCGATAATAAAATGTTTTACTTTAGACACCATCATAAATTTTAATTTTAAGAAAGCTTTAATTCGAAAACACTTTTGAAGAGGGTTGCCGCCTGTTTAGAGATTTAAAATCAAGGTGATTAACATGTTAATTAAATATTCTCCAATGGGTATCAAACGAGTTAGGTTCGAGAAAGTTTTATTTCGAAAATATATTTGTAGCGGGTTGCCAACTGTTCAGAAATTATAAATCGATTTAGTTAACAAATTAAATGAAATATATTATACTAGTGTCAAACGAGAGGGGTTTAAAAAATCTTTGTTTCGTAAATATTTTTGTCGAAGGTTGCCAACTGCTTAGAAATTCAAAATCGATTTAGTTAACAAGTTAAATAAAATATTTTGACATCGGCGTCAAATAAGCGAGGGTTAAAAAGCCTTATTTATTTCGAGAATACTTTTGAAGAGGCTTGTCGCCTGTTAAAAAAATTTAAAATCAATTTAATTAACAAGTTAAATAAAATATTCTAATATAAGGTATGAAATTGGAGATGTTTAGCAAAGCTTTATTTCGAAAATATTTTTGTAAATATTTTTTAACAAGTTAAATGAATGTTATATGGGCGACAAACGATAAACATTTTCATTCTACAATACATTTGAAGAGGGGTTTTTCTATAAAATCTTTTTTTTTTTAAATATTTTTGTTATTTTCTAAAAAATATTTTTGGAAAAATTGTTTTAAAAATCAAATTTAACTTAGTGCAATTGCAAAGTCATTGACCCTTTTACTGTCGGTTGGATCGACACTATGCTGCATAAGCGCGAAATCACATCGTGCTTTGGCAATACTCAAGTGAAGATTAGAGCCATGATTGGCTGCCTACAGGAAGGTACGCATGTGGCCTACATATGTATTATATTTATACGAAAATAGGCCAGTACCTCTTCGTGTATTTTTAACCCGGTGTGACAATGTGATCCTCACGATAAATAAAAAAGCTGTTCTTGTACCCTGTTTCAGCTAGTCTTGCATAGACAGTGCTTGAATACTACGGCCAAATACTGAAAAAATGTTGATTAAGCGATCTAACCATCCCGCGGGGCGCGCCTGATGAACAACGGTTCCTTCAACAGACCGGTAACAGCGACAGACCTTTTGGAGAAGCATGGGCTGATAGAAAGGTTTTATCGCACAGACAGTACAATGATGAAAGACAGAGCATATGCAGCCATTTATGGACCTGGTGCCAAACTTGCTATTCTTATTGCCTGAAGGCCCAAGCTGTTCCAGGCTAGAGGTGTTAACAATCTTAACCTGTAACAAGTTGTACTTTGAAATCGGTTAAAAAGGGCGCTTTTTTTAGTAACTTTTCAGATAACCAAGCAGCCATCTCCCTCTCTAACAGAAGGATAAACCTCAAGCTTTTTTAAAGTCCTTGTAGGACCAGAACCATTTTGTGGTCTCAGCTGTTTTCCATACGACTTTCTTTTATTCAATAATAATTTATCAATTTCATTTCATTTAATAATCCACACCCTACATACTCGGGCTGAATTGTGTCACATACAAACTTAAGTTCATACATAAAAATGGCATCAGGCTATTCTCTGCAAGATGCCCGCCTGCGATTTTACATGCAAAGAAGAGGTGTATTCACAGAAACAGAGTGCCGACTCTGCCTTGAAAGCGATGAAACATACCATTGACCAGATATTTAAATATTCATTCATTTTAAAGGTCGAATCCATTTCAATGAAGAAATCACCTAGCAAGGCCATTTTAGGTTTCGTTAAGAAAGCCGCAGATATCTTAGGATGGGTTTGGGATGCAAATCATCTTTGGGGTCGCAGAGTCTCTTGGTCAGCTACACACAAGTAGATACTTAATAGAATCGTGTATTACACCGCACTTAACTGGAAGACCAATGTTAAAAATCGTAAACAGGAAAGCTTCATAGCATACTAAACTTGCAATAGAGTTTTCAGCATACATTGTGGACTAAAAACCTAAACGGTAACTTACAAAAACGGTAACTTACAACGGTAACTTACAAAAACGACAGAAGAAAATGCATTAGATACCAAGTGGCCAACAAATAGGCTTTCAAGGTTCACGGGAAACTCGACGGGGGTCTACATTGGCGTGATGAAAAAATGGCTTTTCACAGATGTAAGTGGGGGTCTACGAAAATTTATCTGGTTTCGATATTAAAGAACAAACATGTTGGATTGGCTTAACTTAGCAATGTAAGCAGATGATATAATACTCAAAAAAATTTAAGGAGAAAAAAATTCTAAAAATTGTTCTGCGATTTTTGACATACTGTATTCCGGTGAAAAAGCGTCGTGTTGAGACTTTAAAAAAAGGCATTTTGAAGCTTGATTCTAATTTTCAGATTTCTAGGCTAAAAATTTTTAGGAGTTACGGTTCTCTTGCAATCCTAACAGATAGCGCGAAAAAAAATCAAATTGTTTCCCTTTTTTGTACACAGACTTGAAATTCAATTTTGATTTTCTCTTTTGTGAGTTAAGGCGCTGGCCTAATGCAGGCTTGCTTTGCGTGCCTTGCTGACTTTAGTTTGCTTTGATTTAGTTTGAAAACTTGTTTGGCCGTATGGCGGCTTGAAACGCTGTCAAAGTAACCAGCTGTCTGGTTGGAAAGTCAGTGTCTGTTCCCTTAACATTAATTATTATTTTCCTAGAAAACTCTAGAAGATGTATCAAAAACTTTCAGATTAATTTTTAAATTAATGCGAAATAATGTTTGTATTTAAAAGAAATGGTAATAATGATACATACATATGTATATCTACATTTACTAAAAAAGCTATATATTAAAAAAGCGATTTACTTGAAGAAAAGAGCTAGAAGAAGTTTTTTCCTCTCGTGTAAAATTTGTAAATGTGAGCTTTGCAATTTTTTACTATAAATAACGATATGTTAAATTTCATTTCGAATTGCCTTTTTTTAAATTAAGTAAGCAAATTTTTGTTTGAATTTATGTATTTTGAACAGGAACATGCCTCTTTGTCAAAAGCCTACAAAACGCTTTCAAATAAAACATTTGTCTATTTAAAACTTTGAGGCGCTTAAACCAAGTGAAGAAAAGCTGCCATTTGGCCAGCCTTTATACATTTTAGTATATTCCAAATAATTTTTGACACTTCTCGGATCGAAGCAAGCAAAGCAAGCCTGCATTGGGCCAGTACCTTTAAACAAGTAATTTCCAAGCAAAAAACGAAGCCGACTTCAGTTCTCATATACAAATTTAAGAGTACCGTTAATTTCTCATGATCCAATGATCGGATCTTAACCAAACTGGTATGGCACCGCCTTCTTTTTTGAAGTCCATTAAAAAGAAAGAGAGCTCTTCACCTAGGGATGTTTCAAATGTAATACTTTTCACATTCGCGAATACGAATGCGAATTTTCGGAATTCGAATGTGCGAATGCGAATGCGAATGTTAGGAATAACATTAAAAAAGCTATATTAAACTAAATTAATCGTTTNTTTGTCTATTTAAAACTTTGAGGCGCTTAAACCAAGTGAAGAAAAGCTGCCATTTGGCCAGCCTTTATACATTTTAGTATATTCCAAATAATTTTTGACACTTCTCGGATCGAAGCAAGCAAAGCAAGCCTGCATTGGGCCAGTACCTTTAAACAAGTAATTTCCAAGCAAAAAACGAACCCGACTTCAGTTCTCATATACAAATTTAAGAGTACCGTTAATTTCTCATGATCCAATGATCGGATCTTAACCAAACTGGTATGGGACCACCTTCTTTTTTGAAGTCCATTAAAAAGAAAGAGAGCTCTTCACCTAGGGATGTTTCAAATGTAATACTTTTCACATTCGCGAATACGAATGCGAATTTTCGGAATTCGAATGTGCGAATGCGAATGCGAATGTTAGGAATAACATTAAAAAAGCTATATTAAACTAAATTAATCGTTTTTATTACTTAAGTTTTGTAAATTATTAGAACATTGAACGAATGCTTAACCTATACAGTGTTTTAATCTAGTAGTCAAAGTTCAAAAGGGGCATATTATATTTAAAAACAAAAAATTATTTTGCTGCCTTTTCTCTCATGAGGCGATTTCTTAGAGACTTGTGTGCTGCACTGAACAATTGTCACTTGGAACGCTGGCGGGTGGTGTGCTCAAATATTTGCCGGCCAGATCTGTCAATTTGTCGTATTTTAGTTTAGTTTTCCGCCAATCGAGAGGATTTTCACCGAGATGAGCTCGTCTCTAATTGAGCTTTACTTTCACATATTTTAATGTCTCCAGATTCTACATCCGAGCCTTCGCTTTCCCTCGAGGTATCTAAAATTATTTCTATGTTGCTTATACGACTTTTAGCAGTACTTGTTAAAGGCCCATCAGTGTTGCATGATATACTACTTAACCGTTTAGCGACTGAAGCTGAAAGCCGGTTATTCTCCGCACCCTGGTTAGACTGACTTAGAGCCATTTCAACAATATTAGAGTGGACACTCTGCCCATGTAAACATTCGCATTGGCAAAACATTCGTATCATTTGATGCGAATGCGAATGCCGAATGCGAATGTCTAAAATGATGCGAATCATTCGCATAACGAATGCGAATGCAAATATTCCCAACATCCGGGATACATATGTATGTAACTTAGTTTTTTCGACTCAATATTTCTCTCTCGCTTCCATACCGCTCAAAATATATGTATCTGGTTGATAAACCCTATAAAGCAGCAGGAAGAAATCATTTAATTTATGCTCTAAATGTGATTCACTCTTTTCTCTAAACGTCAGTTTCTGAGTTAAAACGCATCAATACCAGGGTTGCCACTGAAAAACTTTCTTTCCTATCAAGAGCGGGACCAAACACATACCAAAATGGCTTCTTTCCTCCCATTTCTTTTAATCAAGAAAAAGGCGTTTGACAGCTTTAAATACATTTTTTTTTCTGGTTTTTATACTTAAAATAAAATATCCAGTAAATAAAAACGTCAAAATAATAGCTATTATATACATATAGCACACACAAAAAAGTGGTGTGTGCTTTTAACCAGACACACCTACCGACGTGTATTTCGACCCACTGAATCCGAATCTGAGGTCCGTTTGACTTCTAAACCCTCAAAATTTCGAGTAAATTGCGAAAACCCGAAAAAGTTGCAAAAAATTCGCAGGTTTTAGTTTTAATAAAGCCTTCGGAGTGAATGACGTAAAAATCGTAGCGGAAAATAAAGTTCCGTCATAGATTTTTTTTATCGCTCATTTGCATACATAAATATATTACGAAGTATGTACATATTGATATAATGCGAAACTACATAAATTTTTCGTCTCTCCGGAGCCTTCGGGCTTGGGACAAAATCTGCGCGCTGCGGGTGTGGTATTAATTTCTTCGAGTTGCGATTGAAAACTTTAAGATTCTCCGATTTACTGGAAATATGACTAACAAAAAGTTGTTTTCTTTTTTGAATCGCTCTTCTACTGCCATTTAAAATATTGTTGAAACTATTAACGATTCGCAACTGCATTTTAAAGAAAAATATCTCATTTATAAACCTGCCTTTACATCCATCAATTCAATCACTTGATATATAGAGTTCAGAGAATTGCCGAAGATAATTGGTTATGTTCTGTCTATGCCAGCAAGCAACGAGGTTTTTACATGAATGGGGGTAAAATTGATATTGTCATAATTTGGCAAGCCTACTCACAGTGCTGACAAAGTGGCACATTACAACAAGCCAGAGATGTTTTCTGTGTTATGAGCAAAGAAACCTACCAAAATTTTAAGCGTCCTACCATCCTACCATCGAGAAAAAACCCTACCAATTTTGGTAGGAAAAGCCCAAAACGGCAACCCTGATCAAAACACAAACTTTTATACGTATCGAGGGATTATATTCAATACGCCCTATCTGCAGTTTATACAAAAACTACTTTCTGATGCTAGAACACATCCGAGACTTAACTGTCATCACCGGTTGCAATTTTAGTTTTGAAATTCAATAGTTAATTCTTCTGACAAGTAATATACAAGGTCAGCATTACCATCATTGATGACAGTTGAGTCTAAGATCGATTTTTATAGGAATCTTATTTTTGTAAAAACTGCAGGTAGGTCATATTGAATATAAGCCCTCGATATACTCCTTATGCAAATTCATGAGTGAGCCAAACATGGGATTAGTTTATAGTGAAGAAAATGTAAATAACTCTAGCGCTCTGAGGTTTTATGAATCGAGATATTTGGAAACTCCGTATTTATAGTCCGATTTGGTTCATATTAAGAACGTATGTATATTAGTTACACTGATAACCCCACCAAAAAAAATTTTGTCTTTTTACTAATAACTTATTTTTATTTTTACTACTTCGAATTTAGGGTTGGAACTCAGGCGCAGCGCAAATTTCCATCGTTAGATCGAATCTTCAAATTTTTTACGAACTATGGGAATATGGCAGAAATGTAACAGCGGGCAGTCCGCCGGAACCAATAAAATTCTGAAAGCGGTCTACGAGAAAAAAAGTTTGGGAAACTCTGCTCTATATCAACAGATCAAATATGGGTTGCGAAAATCAACCAACAATTTTGCCTACTCTGGCTGATCTCCCATCACGATATACAAATCTAGTTTAACGACTCAATTCAAAAATATTGTATATGGTCAGCTAAAAAACACTTACATTGTTTGCTTCAAATGCGCAATCTCCTCTTCCATACGCCCAATTTTCTCCTCCTGCTTCACCCGCAACATCTGACTACGCTCATTACTCTCCTCCAACAACTTAATCATATGCTCCTGACGCGACAGCTCCATTTGCTTGTTACTTAAGGTGCTGAAGAGATTGTGAAATTCCTCAGATTTTGTACGCAACTCATTGTTCAACTGCATTAAAAGAGGGGTGGGGAGAGAACATTTAATGCAGAAGCTGTCATTTTTCTACCAACGATAGACTCACCCATACCTCATTGATGGTACTATTCTTTTCGCCAACCTCTACGAACATTTGTTCCAAATGAATGCGTTGACTATTGTCGTTCGTTTGCAGCGAATTAATCAATTCGCTACGCACTTCGAGTAGCTGTTGATCGCGACGGATCTGTTCCTCCAGCTGTTCCATATTGAAGAGCGCCTTGGCTAGTTCCGTTTTTAGTTTATCGATTTCTCGATGCTTTTCGGCCTCAGATTGCAACAGTCGTTGGAGCTGTATATTAAGTAGCACACAATTGATGTCAAACTTCGTTGGAATATGCGTTGAGCTTACCTCTGCCTTGTTTTCCTTGGGCAGCTCTGTATTTTCTTCTGCGATTTTTTCGCGTTCCAATAATTCTCTAAGAAAAGCAAATATATACCAGAACAGAAAACGCATATTTAGGCTCAAGTACATTAAGTGGAAAAAAAGTTGTCCCAGCAACTTGAAAACCCATCCACGTGAAGTAAAACAAAGCTACCTACTCATAATTTTTTTACACGTGCATTCTTTATGCTCATTTTTTTTTATCTCCCGCTCTACTTACCGATTACGTTCCTCCAGTTCAGCGATCTTATTCCGTAATTTATCCATAGCAGTAACTTTCTGTGGAGTTCATACACTTGTTTAGCGTTGGAACAAACATCGTTTTCTTTCACTTTCTTACCTCCTGCAGCATCAACTCCTGTTCTACAAATTCTTGCTTCTCTTTTTCCAATGTCTCTATTTTTCCTTTTAATTTATGTATCTCCTTTTTGAATTCCTTTTCATGATGCGGTTGCTCAGGTTGTGGTTTCGCTTGCAGTGCTTCTTCTATTTCCCTCTTAGCCTTATCAAGGTCGACTTCCAGTTTTTGTATGATTTCGTTTTTGTCGTGCTTATCTTTCTTTTCGTGATTCAGTTGGCTTTCAGCGTGTGTTAATTTCTTATTGAGAGCCTGAATACTGTGGGGGAGAGGCGAAATATTTAATTTCATGAACTAAATAGCAACAAATAAAGCAAATTTATTAATACACCGATAACCATTAATGAATTTTGAACTCATTTTTTCCTAATGTATCCAATTAACCTCCGTAAAGAATTTTACTCACAGGAAAGGTTAAAACATAAGTACGTCGGGGCCAGACATATATGATCTGACCACACAAAAAGAAACTCTCAATCAATCTCCACTCAAAGTATACCTACCAAATAAGAATAGGACAGGCTGTGGGTTAGATCACGAATATTGTTCAAAATGTTCAAAAACTAAAGCTCTTCTGATAGAATTGAAAAACAACTTGTGCTACATAAAAAAAATTTTTTCCCCAGTGATTTAAAGATATTTGGAACTTTCGTTTTTGTAAAGAAACCAAAATGCTAGATATTGCCTTTCTATATTAAAATAACGATATCCATATCTGACGCTGAGATTACAACTCACCTAGAGAATATCGCTCACTTATTGATCTGCATAAGTCAAACTCCTTAGGAAATCTAACTTGGTAGACCGAGAAAATGTATTGATATCTGCGAAATTGAGTTTTTGATTATCAATTGACAACTAATAGACGTAGGGCTACGGCTTTGAGGGTGGAGGAAGATTTAAAAATTAGACTGTTAACATAATTGAGGGGATTTCTGCTGGATGATCGTTTTTGGACGAAGCTGCTATGCCGAGTTAATCATAGAACCCACCAATGTTGTGGATTTTGGGTATGATGGCCACGTGCCAAGCATCAGCAGCCTTCTCGAGTTGTTAAGTGGTTATTTACATATCGGCGGCTGAGTGAAAGACCGCCCTATCTCAGCAAACGGTTGTAAAAAGGCTTATTTCAGAATGTCTTATCTCACAATTTGGTTGAAGAACGCTCGATCTCCGCGAATGGTTCAGAAACACGCTATCTCAGCTGCAGATGTATTGTATTTATATTGGGTTAGGTGGTTTTCGAAGTGGCAGCTGAGATAGAGCAGTTTTGAACCAAATTTTGAGATAGGGCGTTCTTCAACNTATTCAATACTTGCGACCAGGCCTCCTCGATGGCCCTGTAATTCCGACAATTAACAATCCCATTAGACTGGTAGTAGCAACTGGTAACTTGTTTTCCTCCTCAGCTTATGCCACCGTGAGCTGAGCACCGTTTGGTTGAACCATCGTCGGCCTGTACCCTCATAAAACGCATCAGACGATGTGATTACTACTTGTGATGCTACCTCATATAGGCATTACTTCAGAAAGTTAATGTTTGAATCGAGTCGATAGCTTTCTATCAGAAAGAAATTTTAGATCGTTTTCTGCAAGCGACTTCTTACGTGAAGGTCCTCGCTGATATTAACCCTCAATTCGATAAGCAGAGAACGGGTGACCTTAATCGATATACGGCAATGGTTCGCCGTCATTGCGGAAAAAATTCTATAGAAATTATGCAGTCTTCAGATCCTAAACAAAACTCAAAATT